AGTTTAATTACAAGTAGCTGGATTTCTAGCCTAAATTAGTTTGCAGTGCTTTAAGACTTAAGTACTAAGTTAATGGACAGTACTGTCAATACACACTTATAAAGATGCATCTGTTTTTAAAAACATTTTTATTTTCTTCACCCAGGCAATGCCAGAAAAAAAAATATTGGCATTATAATGGTACAATGTGAGCATTAGTAGTAGGTTTATGAACACATCTAATTTGGGTATAAACTATCTATAGGTCTTTTGCAGGATAGTTTGCTTATACTTAGCAAACGTAAGTCAATGTTAGCTCCTATGATGTTGCCTCTGCTGCTATGACCATCCAGTGCTTTTTTTTAAAGGAAATAGTAGTATTACAGTTTTTAAACAGGGTAGCAAAACTTGTGTGACCATAATCCCGAAACAACAAAACAAAAGAGATCTCATTCATTGTTCATCTACGCAAACAAACTTAGAAGTTGTTGCCATTGATAAAAAGCTGTGTAAATAATCCCAGCCTGCTGGAATCTCCAGCCCCTCCAGAATGGACACTAACAAGAATGGATTAGATCCAGACTAAGTAAGTAATGCTTTTAGTCCCACTGAATTCAATAGGACTAGTTCCTCAAAATTTATTTCCCGTTGATTTCAGTGGGTCTAAAGTACAACTAACTCTTTCTGTTTGTCTGTCTTGCATCTTTTTACTTGTTGGTGCTGAAGTTTGAATTTCTACTCAACCTGATGTCAGCCTTTTTCTTCCTGGTGCGGAACAGTTCCTTGCAGAGTCTTTTACAACTTTCCTTTGGGGTGTTCCAGGACACTGACCTTGCATTATTGTTTCCTTATTTCCCTCCCTGGAATTTTGTTTCCATCCAGGTTCTGCAATGAGAACAGTCCATGCCCATTGCCAATCTTCTGGTCTTCGTGGGGCCCTTGGAATAAATGTAGCGCAAATTGTGGTGGAGGGGTGCACTCCAGGCAGAGGTCTTGTGAAAATGGAAACTCCTGCCCAGGCTGTGCTGTGTACGTTTTCATTCAGATAGGCTTTCGTTGCTGTTTTCTTATGCTCTCTTTTCCTCAGTCCTTTAAGGACTTGTCCTATACACCTGTGCTTAGAGAAGAGAAGAGAGGGAGCTTACAGGTAATTGACCTAGGGGCTAGATAAGAAGGGAGCCGGCATTTGTCCACAGACAGCTTTCCCGGATCATGTGGCCATCATGACTAAACCGCTTCTGGTGCAACGGGACACCGTGATGGAAGCCGGAGCGCATGGAAACGCCTCCAACTGGGCCTTTGTCTATGGAATTTGTTTGCATGCATTAGTATGGGCACTTTATGTAACACATGCGCAGGCCTGTCGCCTCAGCATTGTATTCTGTTAAAGAATTGGAAGCAATACCAGACCTTGATTTATACACCTTCTGAGCATTATTACTGCTTCAGTGGTTTTGTGATTTTGAGTCAAATATTCGGGGGTTTATCTTATTGTTCCTTAAATGTCATTGTCCCCAAGTGCATTGGTAAAGCTGCAAACCCTCAAGTAAATGCTAATAATTGGGTCCTTTCCCCATCTTCTCCTATTTCTGTAGGAGTATAAAACCTGCAGCCCAGAGGCCTGCCCAGAGGTCCGAAGAAACACACCTTGGACTCCATGGATGCCCACCAACATCACTCAGAGTGGCGCTCGTCAAGAACAGCGTTTCCGCTACACCTGCCGCGCTCAGCTTGCTGACCCTCACGACCTCCAGTTTGGCAGGAAGAAGACGGAGAGTCGGTTCTGCCCCAATGACGGCTCAGCTGTTTTGTGACACTGATTGTACGTCCTGCCAGATTGCGAGATTAGAACGAGCGCCAAGCTAAGCTGCTTATTATTCATGCTGGAGGTTGTGGGCAGCTGAAGCGTAGGGTTGGTTAAATGCTGATCTATGTTGATAGCAACAGAGCAAATCAAAGCCAGCAGATTGAGACGGTATATACTCTGTCAGGATGGATGAGCATTAGGGAATTTGCTTGGGAGCTTTTCACACACCTGCAAACACTGTGTTGCTGGAGGTACATAATCTTAATTTCTGTGTTTATTAAGATGCCCTTCACACATCAAGCAGCATAGGGGTCACTTCAGCTTGCTGTGATTGCACACTACAGGAGCGCATGATAGGACTATGTGGTTGAGAACACAATTGTGGGATATTTCAGATAATTGGGGTGCCATGAATTGAAGCAGTCGAGTGGGTATATATGAGGTAAGCAAACTGGTTCCAAGGTGTTGAAAGCTTTATATATCAATAGTAACATACCCAGTAACAAATTGGCAGCTCATCCCTCAGCAGGGTCTCTCTCTCCTGCCGGCAATCATCCTGCAGTAGTTGCAGTTCCTGGGCCAAACACAAGGGAAGATCCACCTGCATGGCAGTAATCCAATCAGAAGTGCCTGAAGTACTGTGATCAGGCTATCCTGCTCCAGGAACCAATGTCACACTAGCTGAAGCTAATAAAAAGTGCTCCTAGCCACCAGGTCCTTTGGTGAGAAACCTGGGTCTCCCCTAGACTTCTTATTTGCTCCTTCTGAGAGAGTGCAAGCCCATCCAGGGCAGGTAATTGGCCGATTTCTTGGATACAATAACTATTCGCCCACAGGGCCTGCATCTTGCCAGGATTCAAGCTCAGTGCATTGGCCCTCATCCAGCCCACCACCACTGCATGGTGTCTGCACCATTAGCACCACTCACATGTTGGCATGAGTGGGGCTAAGCAGATTCATTTCAATTACTGCACCACAGTTTCTTTTCTTCACTATGTGATGAATGTAACCTATATTTGCCATGATCACTTGCAGGGGAGGGAATCTTACCAGTGTGCCCATGTGACTGGGGTGCTCGTGAAGCCTTGGCAGTTTACCTGCCACAGAAATCTCTTACTTTAGAGAAGGAAAGAGAGAGAGAGTGCCAATGTGACCTTGTATGGCTAAGATGCTCTGAGCAACACAGTGGCCAAAAGTCTTTCAGCCTTCCTCTTAGCCTTGAAGCTGGGAAGGGAACATAGTTCACCATGCAACTGTCTGAACACTCCTTGCCCTCTTCTGCTGCTGCAAGGTTGGGAAGAAAGCTGGGGGTTTCCATGTGTTTAATTCCTATATTTTTCTTTTTTCCTCCCCCTCTCCCCACTGCCCCCCCAGCTTTAGTTGATGACCTTCTGAAAAGCGGCAAGACCTCTATTCGGATTATTAATGGTGGGTGGTCCTTTTGGGGAGGGTGGTCATCTTGCTCTCGAGACTGTGAGCTGGGCTTCAGAACCAGGAAGCGAACATGCACCAATCCAGAGCCAAAAAACGGTGGCCTACCTTGCATAGGATCTGCAATGGAATATCAGGACTGCAACCCACATCCCTGTCCAGGTAAATACTGTGACCGTTCCCTGGTTTTGTTCAGTGTGAGTAGCGTGCTGAAGAAGCGTGCTATGAAGTTCTTCCATTACTCTTCACCCTGCCATCGTAGGGCATGTTTGCCTGTGCTGGCCCAAGACATTTTCCTGCCTGAAGCAGAGCATGTGGAAAAGTCTCGCTGCACCATTCACACACCAATTCATGCCTCATGATGCCATCTAATGCTGACCACTTCACCCTGCTGCATGGCATGATTGCTCCTGATCTTAGAGCTGGCACTTTTGCAGAAGGCATTTGTCAGCGGCTGCCTCAGGTCCCAGCTCACAAAGGACCAAGCCAGTTGCTCTTTATAAACAAAAGTCTTTATTGTGGTTCATTGTTGGTTTGACATCCGTGGCGCGCAGCGCTACGTCTGAGTCCTTAGACCGGCGAAGTCCCGTCTGAATCCGCCCCTCCTTTACACCAGTTCAATACCCGAGCTTTGCTCCACCTCTTCCTTTCCTCCCTCTGCTCCTTACGCCTCCGGGTCCTCCTGCCCTCTGGGATCCCAACCCTCCTGGACTCTTCGGAGGCGGATTCTTCTGACTCCTCCCCCTGTCTCCGGTGGGCTTTGGGACCTGGCTCCCAATCCGGATTTTCTGCTGTTCCTCGCGCCTCTACATTTGAACTTGGCGCGCGCGCGCAGCCGCCCACTTTCCTCCTAACTGCTACACTGCTCCCTTCACTGCTTTCTCCTTCCGGGAGGCTGGACGGCCCTGCTCTCTCCTCCGCCCCTCCACTCTCTGACGGAGGCATGGTCAGTCCTGCCTCACTCCCTCCTCCTGCAGGAGGAGGCTTTTGTTCTAATCTGTAGGATTCTCCCCCCCCCCCGCTGCGCTCTGGTGGGGAAGCTACCCCTGATTTCCAGCTGCCGCTTGGCGACTCCCCACTGGCCCCCCCTTGCCCTGACCCTGGGGGCCTCCTTCTGGGAATCTTCTGATTCGCTGGAGAGACTCAGGGAATCTCCCTGGTCACTGTCACACCCTCCTGCGCTCCCCTCCGATTGTTCCCCTTCGCTCTCCATCTCCTCCTCCTGTGGCTCAGTCCCTGAGCCCCTGACATCCATCCCCCCCTCGAAGCCCCCCCTTCCCCCTCTCCGGGTGTGGGTTCCGGGTGCTCCAGTGCTTGGGGGGCGAGAGCTGGATACTGTTCGATGCCCCCGTCGTGCAGCCCTCCCTCTGGATCCAACCAGTCCGTACTGTGCTCATCGACGTCTATCTCCTCCGCTTCCATCTCTTTGTATTCGTGCTCAAACCCCTGATCCTCACCCCACACGTCCATGTCCTCCCTACCCTTCGGTACGTCGGGAGCTGCGTGCCAAGGTCCCTTCAACCATTTTCGTCTCCATTCCTCCTCCGGCTGATCGTCCCACCAATAGGAACGGTCAGTGTCTACCCCCGAACAAGATCCCCTTGGTGTGCTCCAGCCCGGCTCCGTCTCCTCGTCTGATGAGAACCCCTGGAACGTGCTGGCCGAAAGTGTGGGTGTGAAAAGCCAGTCGTCGAAAAAATCTGCCGGCATGGGTTTTTGGGGGAAGAGCGCATGAAACTCGTCTTTGAGATAGCGCTCCTCCAGGGCATAGTCCGGTACCCACCTGTTGGCGCTTGCCGGGGTACCTTCCTCGGCAAGGAGATATTCAACTCCCTCCTCCCCCCATCTCGAGTCCAAAATCTCCGTGACCTCGTTGATTGGTGTCGCCCTTCGTGGTTCCCCCCTGTGGGTGATTGTCTGCGTGGGTCTGGTGCGGTCCCTGGCGCCTGAAACCTGTGTGGTGCCTAGTAGGGTGTAAGCACCGACCTATGAAAGACCAGGTGCATTCTGGAACCCTCCGGAAGGGTCAACCGGAAAGCTACTGGGTTGATTTGTGCCTCGACTTGGTAAGGCCTAGCTGCTTGTGCCCAAGCTTCTTCTTAGCTAACGTTCTGGCTGGCACTGCCTGGGCTACTAACCATACCCAGTCCCCCACTTGGGTGTCTTCCCCGACTCTCCTGTGCCTGTCTGCCTGCACTTTGTAGGCGTGTTTTGCGAGTTCTAAGTTCCTTCGGAGTTGCTCGTGGACCTCCTGCAATTCTGCTGCCAAGTGCTCTGCCCCCTGTGGCTCCCCCTCCCCTGTCGTCTCCAAACCCGGGAAGGTTCTGGGATGCCGCCCATTGTTGGCGAAGAACGGCGTCACCCCTGTCGACGCGTGCTTCGTGTTGTTGTAGGCAAACTCGGCCAGCGGTAGGTAGTCCACCCATGTCGAGGGTTGTTGATTCGCGTAGCAGCGCAAGTACTGCTGCATGATGGCGTTGACCCTCTCTGCTTGTCCGTTGGTCTGCGGATGTCGTGCCGACGCTAAGTTGATCTTGACGTTCAGGATGCCCAGCAGCTTCTGCCAGAAATTCGAGATGAACTGGCGCCCCCTGTCGGATAGGATGGACCTCGGCAATCCGTGAACTCTGAACACGTGGTCTATGAACAGCTTGGCGGTTTGTTCCGCCGTGGCCACCTTCGCGCAAGGAATGAAATGCGCCATCTTGGTGAACAGGTCTACTACTACGAGCACCGCTGTTTTGCCTCTCGAGCTGGGTAAATCTGTGACAAAGTCCAGGGCCACTCTCTCCCACGGTTCAAACGGCGTCGGAAGCGGTTCCAGCAGTCCCGCCGGCGCCCTGTGTACTGGTTTGGCCCTTTGGCAAGTGTCACACCGAGCGACGTAATCCTCCACTTCACCCCTCATCTTGGGCCACCAAAAGTCTCTGGCTACTAATTCCGCTGTCTTGTCCTTGCCGAAATGACCAGCGCTGGGTGCGTCGTGTAACTGCTGCAGGACTTTCGCGCGGAGTTCGTCTCCCGGCACGTATAGAGCCCCTTTGCGGATGAGCAGTCCGTCCCGCATCTGGAACTCGGCGTCCTTTGCTGCGCCCTGTCGCACCTCTTCCATCTTGGATTGTGCGAATGGATCCGTCTGTAACGCGCGACGTACCGCGTCCAGGTCAACGTTGGCTGCCGAGCACTTCCACACTGCCGGTGTGAAAATGTGTTTAGCTGCCGCCGGCGCCGCTTCCTCCAGATACTGCGGTTTCCTGGAAAGGGCATCTGCCATGACGTTGTTGTCTCCCGGGATGTATTCTATCCTGAAGTCGAAATCCGCAAAGAACTCCGCCCAACGGATGTGTCTTTGGTTCAGGAACCTCGCCGTGCGCCAGTACTCCAGGTTCTTATGGTCTGTGCGGACTTGCACGGTGTGTCTGGCTCCAATGAGGAAGTGCCGCCACGCTTTGAAGGCTGCATGAATGGCCAGCAACTCCCTGTCCCAGATTGTGTAGTTCTGCTCCGACTTGCTGAACTTCCTGGAGTAAAATGCGCAGGGCCTCCAGTTCCCTTGCGGATCTTCCTGTAACAGGACTGCCCCCACCGCTCTGTCTGATGCGTCAGTCTCGATCCTCAGCGGTCTGCCGGGGTTGACGTGAAGCAGCTGTTCCTCAGACACGAAGAGACGCTTGAGTCTCTGAAAAGACTGCTCCGCTTGGTCCGTCCAGATGAACTTCTTTTTCTTGGAGCTGAGGGTGTCCGTGATAGCCGCCGTCTCCTTCGCAAAGCCCTTGATGAACGTGCGGTAGAAGTTGGCGAAACCGATGAACTTCTGGACTTCCTTCCTATTGCGCGGGCTCTTCCAGTCCAGCACCGAGCGGACCTTGTTGCTGTCCATGGCGAGTCCCTTGTCTGACAGCTTGTAGCCCAGGAAATCCACTTCCTTCACGTCGAACTGGCACTTTTCCAGCTTGGCGTAAAGCCTGTGCTCCCGTAGTCTCTGCAGGACCTCCTTGACGTCCCCTTCGTGAGCCTCCTGCGATTCCGAGAAGATCAGGATGTCGTCGAGGAAGCAGACGCACTTCTTGTATAGGAGTCCCGCTAACACGTGGTTCATAAATGCTTGGAACGTGTGAGAGCCATTTTGGAGGCCAAAAGGCATAACTTTGTATTCATAGGTGCCTAAGGGCGTAAACATGGCCGTCTTCCACTCATCGCCCTCCCGCATGCGTATCAGATTGTATGCGCCTCACAGATCCAGCTTGGTGAAGATTCTCCCCTTCCTCACCGTCGCTAGTAGGTCGTCGATCTTGGGCATGGGGAATGCCGTGGGCTTTGTCCTCGAGTTTATGACCCTGAAATCAACTACAAGCCTCTTTTGGGGCGTGTCTTTTTTCTTCACGAAGAACACGGGACTGCCCCCCACTGCTTTGGACTCTTGGATGAATCCCCGCTTCAAGTTGAGCTCTATGAACTCCCTGAGTTCTTTCCTTTCGTCCTCAGACATGGAATACAGCTTTCCCGTCGGCAGCGTCGCCCCCGGCAGGAGGTCAATCGCGCAGTCGTAGGGCCGATGGGGAGGCAGCTTGTCAGCTTCCTTCTCGCAGAAGACTTCCAAAAACTCCTTGTACTTGTCTGGTACCACCTGCACCATGCTGAGGTGTATCTCTGGTTCATCCTCCTGCCCTTCCCCCTCTTGGCTGGGCTGGATGCAGTGTTCCGCGCAGTAGGAGGAGCCGAAGGTCAATTGGCGCTGGTACCAAGCCAATCCCGGGCTGTGCCTATCCAGCCAACTCATGCCCAACACTATGGGCGTGTCTGATAGGTGAGTGACGTTAAAACTGATGACTTCGCGATGATTCCCAATTTGCATCACCATAGGTGGTGTTTGCTGTACCACTTGCCCTCCTAGCAGCTTCCTGCCATCGACTGTGACGACGTTCAGTGGCATCATGGCCGGTAGAAGCGCTATGCGGTGCTGCTTGATGAAGTCCACCCCCACAAAGTCTGCATTGCTACCAGAGTCAATGGTAATGGGGACTTCCAGGGTGAATCCATTGGGCAACTGGAGTGATGCAGTGAGTTGCACCACTGGTTTGGGCGGGAGGGGGTCTGTGGGCTGCAGAATCTCTGGGGACTGCTTCAGAAACGTGCCTGGCTGGGCCCCAGTGCCTCTGATTCCAACCAGGCTTGGCCGTTTCCCTGCTGCTCCTCCCCCTGCTGAAAATCTCCTTTTACTGTTGCTGAGGCTGCAGTGTGCTTCTGGATCCTCTGGGGACACTCTTTGGCCAGGTGCTGTGCACTGTCGCATATGAAGCACTTCCTGCTCCCTCTAGGAGTTTTCGTCTTGGCTGCTCCTGGTGTTGGGGCTCTGGTCGCTGTCTGAGCCTTAACGCTGCCCAACTCCATCGGTTTTTCTCCCTCCCCCAATGGAGGCGTGGAGTTCGCGCATCCACTCTCCCTGGGCATGAAGGGAGGTGCTCTGGCCGGTGTGCGTGCGAAGCGACCCTCATCTCTGCCCCAGGGGCGTTCCTCCATTCTCACTCCTATCGTGAGGGCTCTCTGAACGACTTCTGCCGTGGTGCTAGGTCTCTCTCCCCTGGCCAGCTCATCTTTCACGGAAGCGTTTAGCCCCTCCCAGAACAGATCCCTCACTGCTGCAGAGTCTTTTTGCCAGCGTAGCGTGTTTACCAGCGCAAAAAAGCGGGAGTGATATTGTCTTACTGTTGCTTTGCCCTGCCTTAAGCCGTGCATCTCTCTTCTAGCCACGTCTACATCTGTGGTAGACTGGAAACAAGCGTCCATAGCCGCTATGAAAGCGTCTGAATTCTGGAGGGCGGGATCATTGTCGCGCCATAAATTGCGCAGCCAGGATCTTGCTTCTCCATGCAAGTGAGTTATGATAAATCCCACTTTTTCCTCCTCATCTCTAAAGTCCTTCCGCAGCAGTTTGAGCGCAAAAACTACATCTGCTCTGAAATTAGGATACTGCTGTAGGTTTCCGTCAAAATGGGCGACAATGCTGCCCCCCCCGCTTTCCGAGGCCAACTCCCTCCGGTCTGGGTCCCGGCAGCCCTTCCTTGCCCAATTTTTCCCACCTGGTTCGCAGATCCTCGCAGAACTTCGCTGCTTCCTCCTCTCTCTTCCTGGAAACTTCCAGCTCTGCGTAAAGCGCCTCAACCGCTTTTTCCAGCTGTGCCATCTTCCCTTCTGTAGTCATCTTTCCCTCTCTTCGTGAGCTCGCAAAACACCATGTCTTGCCCCTCTCCGCGCCAACTCGCGCTGCGAGGGTTAATTTTTATTGAGACGGGACTTACTGTCAGCGGCTGCCTCAGGTACCAGCTCACAAAGGACCAACACCAGTTGCTCTTTATAAACAAAAGTCTTTATTGTGGTTCTTTGTTGGTTTGACATCCGTGGCGCGCAGCGCTACGTCTGAGTCCTTAGACCGGCGAAGTCCCGTCTGAATCCGCCCCTCCTTTACACCAGTTCAATACCCGAGCTTTGCTCCACCTCTTCCTTTCCTCCCTCTGCTCCTTACGCCTCCGGGTCCTCCTGCCCTCTGGGATCCCAACCCTCCTGGACTCTTCGGAGGCGGATTCTTCTGACTCCTCCCCCTGTCTCCGGCGGGCTTTGGGACCTGGCTCCCAATCCGGATTTTCTGCTGTTCCTCGCGCCTCTACATTTGAACTTGGCGCGCGCGCGCAGCCGCCCACTTTCCTCCTAACGGCTACACTGCTCCCTTCACTGCTTTCTCCTTCCGGGAGGCTGGACGGCCCTGCTCTCTCCTCCGCCCCTCCACTCTCTGACGGAGGCATGGTCAGTCCTGCCTCACTCCCTCCTCCTGCAGGAGGAGGCTTTTGTTCTAATCTGTAGGATTCTCCCCCCCCCCCGCTGCGCTCTGGTGGGGAAGCTACCCCTGATTTCCAGCTGCCGCTTGGCGACTCCCCACTGGCCCCCCTTGCCCTGACCCTGGGGGCCTCCTTCTGGGAATCTTCTGATTCGCTGGAGAGACTCAGGGAATCTCCCTGGTCACTGTCACACCCTCCTGCGCTCCCCTCCGATTGTTCCCCTTCGCTCTCCATCTCCTCCTTCTCCTGTGGCTCAGTCCCTGAGCCCCTGACAGCATTTAACATACGTAGCTGTAAGCTCAGCCCTCAAAAGGCAAAGAAAGTTTGGACTGCGCGCAGAGAGGTTGCAACAAAATCTCATTGCTTCAAAAACATTAGAACTTTCTGCTCCTTTAGTAAAGCGAGAGCTGTGCAGAATCAGATGTGTCTTTAAGTTTAAGATTAGATCTGGTACTTTGACTTTGCTCACCATTCCATGGTCCAGATTTGCTTATTTCAATATGGCTTACCCACCTCTAAGTATTGGTTACTCTTTCCTGACTGGCAATCAGGAAATATTATTTCCTTGTTAACTAGTCCTTGAAATTATGGCCCTGCTTCTTACTGGATTAGAACAGTAAAGGAGCCTTCCTTTCCCCATTTTCTCCACCCTTTCCCAACCCCCAAAACCACACCTGTTGGTGTTGTGTACCCTAAAGTGCTTTTCCAGGGGACTTTCAGACAGGGGCTTAATATTGTAAAGAGCCATTCATATATCACAAATATACTGTTGGCAAAGGTGGTTTTTTTTAATGTATCAGATTTTTCTCAGGGTAAATCCAGATTAAATGTGGGGGGAATGTGTTCTGACTTTTTGATGCCAATGACATTGTTTGGATATTGTAAAAAATGTGCATGTGTGAGAATAGTCATTACTTTTGCATTATAATCATAGCCATTCCTTCCCTCCTTTATCAGAACTATGCGCTTGGAGGGGCCAGAAATGCAATGAACTAACTTAAATCATTTTGGCAGAGAAAGAAACCAATAGGGACTTGTGAACAGTGAGGAACAGTATTTGTAGGCAAATAGTTAGGATGCTATTCATCTGGTGTGGTAGCTTCTTCATAGCTTTCTTCTCCTTGAAATAATGATTTGGGTTTTTTTTTTTATTGTGATGGGATTAACAGATGGGTGAAAAGTATGCCTGCATCTTTGTATTGTTTTATTTTGAAACCTTTATTTTGAACCTTAGTGAAAGGTTCGTGGTCCTGCTGGACTCCTTGGTCTCAGTGCTCAGCAACTTGTGGAGGAGGGCACTACCAGCGCACCCGAACCTGCACCAACCCAGCGCCCTCTAATGGGGAGGATATCTGCATTGGACTGCACACTGAGGAAGCACTGTGCAACACACACTTGTGTGAAGGTAGCCCTGTTGTTGTTATTCTGTATAATGCCATCATTTTTGTATTTATGTTCTTTTAAAAAATATGTTTTCATAATGCATTTGAGATTTCAGGACTGATGTAATTCTTCTGTTGTTCTTCAAATGTAATTTTGAAATAAATTAATAAATAGAGATAGATAGATAGATAGATAGATAGATAGATAGATAGATAGATAGATACAGGTGAAACTAGAATATCGTGGAAAAGTTCATTTATTTCAGTAATTCAACTTAAAAGGTGAAACTAATATATGAGATAGACTCATGGCATGCAAAGCGAGATATGTCAAGCCTTTATTTGTTATAATTGTGATGATTATGGAGTACAGCTGATGAAAACCCCAAATTAACAATCTCAGAAAAGGTGCAGTAGCTATTCAATCTGTAACACCTGCAATGGGTTCCCGAGCCTTTAAATGGTCTCTCAGTCTGGTTCAGTAGGAAGCACAATCATGGGGAAGGCTGCTGACCTGACAGTTGTGCAGAAAGCCATCATTGAGACCCTCCATAAGGAGGGAAAGCCTCAAAAGGTAATTGCAGAAGAAGTTGGATGTTCCCAAAGTGCTGTATCGAAGCACATTAATGGAAAGTTATGCGGAAGGGGAAAGTGTGGAAGAAAAAGGTGCACAAGCAGCAGGGATGACCGCAGCCTGGAGAGGATTGTCAGGAAAAGACCATTCAAATGTGTTGGGGACTTTCACAAGGAGTGGACTGAGGCTGGAGTTAGTGCATCAAGAGCCACCACACACAGACGGATCCTGGAGATGGGCTTCAAATGTCGTATTCCTTTTGTCAAGCCGCTCCTGAACAAGAAACAACGTCAGAAGCGTCTTACCTGGGCTAAAGGAAAAAAGAACTGGTCTGTTGCTCAGTGGTCCCAAGGCCTCTTTTCTGATGAGAGCAACTTCTGCATCTCATTTGGAAATTAGTTTCACCTTTTAAGTTGAATTACTGAAATAAATGAACTTTTCCACGATATTCTAATTTTTCGAGTTTCACCTGTCTGTCTGTTCCCAAACAATAGCTCGGCTGAGAAGACGGTTGCAGAGCATTTTTCCAAGTTCTGAATCACAGAACTAGACAACTGGTTTTGTCATTTTTCAGTCTACTTTATGCTTCTCAAAACAGACTTCCCCTGTTCATGGGTATTTGACATTATTTCTAAATGCTCAGTTGGGTTTCCATATTCAGAAACTATGTGACCTTTTGTCCTTTGTTTATCCCTCATGTTTTTTTCTTGGCTTGACATTGTGATCATCCCACATGCTTAAGTCTTATCTCTCGTTCTTAAGGAGGCTGGTCCGAATGGTCTGAATGGAGCTTGTGTAACGAAGATGGGATCCAGTATCGTAGTCGTTACTGTGAAATCCACAATCCAGGATCTTCCCAATGTGCTGGGAACAGCACACAATACCAGGACTGCTTGTACAATGAGATCCCAGGTGGGTGCAAATTCGCATGCTAAATGAGCAAGGAAAGGGCTCCAATAATTGCTGAGATGGATGCCTTACTAAAAAGAACTGATTGCCACTTTTAATATTGATAGGATTGTGTTTTGTAAGGCAGTGAGTATATTGAATGCTGCCTAGTATTCCATTAGTTCAGTTATGCAAGGAGAAGGCATCCTGCAGAAGGAAAGAGATTCAGGAGGATTTTTAGGATCCCATGCGTGGAAATGAAATGGCAGTAACTTTTGTGTAGCTATAGTCTGTTTAGAATTATAGCTAACCTCCATCTAGGGATGGGAAGGATTCTGTGACTAATAGATCTTATATAATCAGGGAGTTTTGTATTCTGCACCACAAACAGACACATCCTTAGATAGCAAGGTCGTCAGTCTGTGTCATACATTGGTCAAAATATTATTTAATTGGATCATATGGTATTCACATTTATTCAGGTATTTTATGAGCACAATTTAAATGCCTCATTTGAGTCTTTTTTTATATCTCTATTTATATTTCTGTAATTTGCACAGTTCTTGCCAGAATTAAACAGTTCTAAGGATGCTTATTGTGTTGTATTTGGATAGCTTGCAATCCAGACAATTTTCTCATGCAATAGAGAGTATGTTCTTCTTAAAACTTTTTTTCACTATATTACATTCTGTGTTTTTTGCCAAAGCTCTGGGAGGCCCTCCATTTGCTGCAGAGATTAACTTGCCTTGCATTGAGCAAAGGGATTTTAATTGCCTGCACAATGTCGCAGATGACAAAAATGACATTTTTCTCCCCACTGTTTTTCTCTTTGTTTAGTAATCCTGCCAGCCTCAAGCATTGACGAGAGCACGAACTGTGGAGGTAGAGTACAGCTAACTATAGATCTTATTTTTATCTTAACATGACTCCTCTTTTCTGGGAAGCATCAACCCAACCATTAATCTGTGCAGTTCACATCCCGTTGATAGCCTTAATTCCACTGGAGTCCGATTGTCTGAGGGGAGGAAGGGAGGGGAGAAAGTATCTGTGATTCAGTTTTCTGGTATAAGAATTTAATTTGGGGGAGGGAGCATCTCAGAATAATTAATTACCAGGGAGATCACAGTCCTTTCGACTGCAGCTCCTTTTTAAATGGACTGGAAAAGATGAAGAGAGATTCCTCATTTTCCTGAGCGCTTAGTTAATTGTAGAGTTGTCACCGAATTTCATTATAAGCAAAACATTGATACGGGTTCCTGTTCTGGAGAAACTTCCAAAGCTTTTAAGGGGAAGCAAAAAGAATTTTGATAAGACTGGCAAAGTTTCTCAGGCTGGATCCGACACATCCCTTGTTAATTGTATAAATGTTTTAACTTCTTGAGCACTTTTGAATGTAGTGGGTGCTTCTGTGTTTGTCTCTCATTTACCATGTACAAAGGTCTATGAATGGTGTTTGCCACCCCCAGGAAGATGAGATTTGCACCCAACCACCTTTTGAAGTGAAAGTAGCCTTGGTTGCTACTCTTTCCCGCACAAGCATAAATGAACATACCAAATCTCTCTCTCTCTCTCTCTCTCTCTCTCTCTCTCTCTCTCACACACACACACACACACACACACACACACACACACTACATATACACAACAACGCATACCTATCTCCTTCCCTTTCTGTGTAAGAACATTCCCACATCTCACTCCCCACCTCCAGGGGTTTTCGAGGGTGGAGAGGGGGAGAAATGAATGCACGGGGATTGCTGCAAGTAGTTCACAGTGTAATAAGCTGAGTTTGTACCAGGGTAGCTCATATAATAAGACTGCAGTGAATTCTAAAGTTGTCTCTACGAATGAACCCAATGCAAAATCGATGGCTATCTTGCCATTGGAAACAGGATTAGACAGCCAATGCAAAACCTTGATTACTGGAAAAGCAGTTGCCATGCCACTAATTTTATCTGACTTCTTTAGAGTTCAGGGAATTGCATTTTCTTTGTGCATTTCCTGCAGGTCGCTTGATAGCTAGCAGAGTCTGTTGAAGGGCCAGAAGAGAAAGCAACCTTCCTTGCTTCTCACATTGTGCTTTTTGATACCTTCCATCTTTCTGAATAGGAGAAAAATAGCAGCTTCGCTAACACAAGGCACTTGTTCTTTTTTAAAAAAAATATTTTATTAAGTTTTCTTTCAGATATTCAGAAATTTACAGAATAAAAGTAGAAAGTAAAAGTAAGAAAAAGAAAGTATGCATAAACTCCAACTTTCCAAAATACTTTAACAATTCCAATCGGACTTCCCCACATCTTCCGAATCCTGCGTTCTTTGCAATTATAACATCAGCAATTTGTTACCTTATTTCATGTCTTACTGTATCTTTCAAATACTATGTTTCCAAATTTAAAATACTGTATCTCAGTTATTTGTACCCTATAAATAAACATAGTATGGTTACTTCATGTTGTCTACCTCATCTTTCTTATAACTTAATTTCCAATTCACCTATTCAAGTTGCTGAAGCAAAAGTTTCCTAATCGTACACATTCTTAACATTCATACAACTTATAATGTTTTTGCAGATAGTCCTTAAATTTTTTCCAGTCCTCCTCCATTATTTCTTCTCCCAAATCACGGATTCTGCCAGTCATTTCAGCCAGTTCCATGTAGTCCATCAACTGCGTCTGCCATTCTTCCAGCGTGGGTAAATCTGGTGTCTTCCAGTGCTTTGCAATGAGAATTCTTGCTGCTGTAGTAGCATACATAAACAAAGTTCTATCCTTCTTTAACACTTTCTGGTCCACCATGCCCAGGAGGAAGGCCTCTGGTTTCTTGGGAAAGGTATACCTAAATACCTTTTTTAGCTCATTGTGTATCATTTCCCAGAAGGCCTTCACTTTTGGGCAGGTCCACCAGAGGTGAAAGAATGTCCCTTCAGCCTCCTTACATTTCCAGCATTTATTGTCGGACAAATGGTATATCTTAGCAAGCTTGACTGGGGTCATGTACCACCGGTATATCATTTTCATAATGTTTTCCTTCAAGGCATTACATGCCGTGAACTTCATTCCGGTGTTCCATAACCTTTCCCAGTCCTCAAACATAATGTTATGCCCAGTGTCCTGCGCCCACTTTATCATGGCAGATTTTACTGTCTCATCCTGTGTATTCCATTTAAGCAGCAAGTTGTACATTCTAGAAAGTATCTTAGTCTTTGGTTCTAACAGTTCCGTCTCTAATTTCGATTTTTCCACCTGGAAACCAACTTTTTTATCTATTTTAAACACCTCTTGAATTTGAGCATAATGTAACCAGTCTCGCACCTTATTTTTTAATTTCTCCTGGCTCTGCAGCCTCCAATTGTCTCCAGTTTTTTCAATTATTTCCCAATATTTCGGCCAGTAGGCCTCCATGTTGGGTCTTTTTCGAGCCTTGGCCTCCACCGGTGACAGCCACCTCGGGGTCTTGCCCTCTAATAAGTCTTTGTACTTCATCCAGACCATGAAAATTGCTTTTCTGACAATATGGTTTTTAAACAATTTATGAACTTTAACCTTGTCATACCACAAATATGCATGCCAACCAAAGGCATTGTCAAACCCTTCCAGATCTAGGACATCAGTGTTCTCCAACAAAAACCAATCCTTCAACCAACAGAAGGCTGCAGCTTCATAATACAACCTCAAGTCTGGCAGGGCAAACCCCCCTCTTTCTTTCGAGTCAGTTAGTATTTTAAACTTTATTCGGGGCTTTTTGCCCTGCCAGACAAATTTGGAGATGTCCTTCTGCCACTTTCCAAAACATTCCACTCTGTCCACAATCTGTAGGGCTTGAAACAAAAATAAATTTTCGGCAATACATTCATTTTTATAGCTGCAATTCGACCCAACAAGGAAAGTTTCAATCTTGACCAAATTTCCAAATCTTTTTTAATTTCTACCCAACATTTTTCATAATTATCTTTAAATAAATTCAAATTTTTGGAAGACAAATGAACCCCCAGGTATTTCACTTTTTTAACAACACTTAATCCTGTCTCTCTCTGAAACCCATCCGTTTCTGTGGATGTCAAATTTTTAGCCAAAACCTTAGTTTTTTGCTTGTTCAACTTAAATCCCGCCACCCGACCAAATTCCTGAATCAGTTCTAACACTCTTTTTGTACTAGAGTCTGGCTCCTGTAATGTTAAAACCAAGTCATCTGCAAATGCTTTCAGTTTATATTGTTTCACTCCGACCTGTATTCCTTGTACCATCCGGTCCTCCCTAATCATGTTCAAAAGCACCTCCAGGACTGAAATAAATAAAAGAGGGGATAGGGGGCACCCCTGTCGTGTCCCTTTTTCAATTTTGAACTCCTCTGTCACCACATTGTTCACTATCAGTTTAGCTTTCTGCTCTGAATAGATTGCTTCTATTCCATTTTCAAACCCCCGTCCCACTCCCATCCCTTCCAAATTTTTCTTCATGAACATCCAAGAAATGTTGTCAAAGGCCTTCTCCGCATCAATAAAGATTAACACTGCTCTCGTATTGATATTTGTTTGTAAAAGTTCCAAAATATCAATAATGTTCCTAGTGTTATCAAACAAATGCCTACCAGGGAGAAAGCCAGCCTGGTCCTTATGAATTACTTCATTCAAAACTTTTTTAAGTCTACTTGCCAGGATATCTGCAAAGATTTTGTAATCCACATTTAGGAGTGAGATGGGACGGTAGTTTTTAAGTTGAGTCTTTTCAGTTTCCACTTTAGGAATCAATGTGATGAAAGCTTCTTTCCACGACTCCGGGGCCTTCTTCCCCTCCATAATCTGGTTACAAACCTCCATCAAAGGTTGTATCAGATAGTCTTTCAAAGTCTTATAATATTTGGAGGTAAGCCCATCAGGGCCTGGAGACTTGCCTAGTTGCATATTCTGAATGGCACCTTCAATTTCCTGTTGCGTTATTTTGCAATTCAGGCTTGTTCTCTTTTCCTGGGTTATTTTTGATAATCCATTGGTTTTTAAGAATTGATCTATTTCAAACTCTCTCTGTGGCCCCTGTGCATAAAGTTCTTTAAAGTATCTCTGGAAACACTTTCTAATTTCTTCTGGTTTCTGGACGATTCTCCCTTCAATCTCTAGATTTGTAACTGTATTCAATTTTTGTCTCTTTTTCAACTGCCAAGCGAGCAGTTTTCCACATTTATTTGCTGATTCAAACGATCTTTGCTTCATTTGTTTAATTTTCCATTCCACCTCTTGATTAATCAGTTTCGAATATTGTGCTTGATGGAATTTAATTTCTCTCAGCACCTCCTTCGACTTTGGTTTGGTTCTCAATTTTTTCTCTCCTTCCCTTATTTTCTCCAAGATCTTCTCCTTTTTTTCATTCCAGAGTCTTTTCTTGATCGTATTTTGTTGTATCAGAAACCCTCTCATAACTGCTTTGCTTGCGTCCCAGATTGTTCTTTTTTCTACCGTAGTATTCAAGTTTATTTCAAAATAGTCTCTTAAAGTTTTTTGGGCCTTCTTCACAATCTCCTGATCTCTTAGTATGGTGTCATTCATTTTCCATCTGAAGGAACCGGTTGGTGTAAGTCTCAATTCCACTTTCAAGGCATTATGGTCGGAGCAGGTTTTTGGGCAGATTTCCACTTTTCTGGTTTTAGGTGCCAGCCCTCTAGTTGTCCATATTTGGTCGATTCGTGTCCATGACAAATGAGCCTCAGAAAAGAAAGTTCCTTCTTTACCTAAGGGGTTTTTTGTCCTCCATATGTCAATCAAGTCCATATTGTCAGTTAGTTCAAAAAAAGTTTTAGGCAGTCTTCCATCAGTCGTTAAGTTTTGATTTTGTGACTTGTCCATGTTTGTAGATACCACCCCATTCATATCTCCCATCATAATGATGTTGGGATAGTCCAGATAGTCCAGCATAATCTCATGCAGCTTCTTAAAAAATTCTGATTTCCCATCATTAGGTGCATATATTCC